CAGGGGGGGGAGACCGAAGTTCCCTTAGTCTGGCTGGGCTGGGTTGCCTTAGAGGAGGAAAACCCCCCAGCCTCGGGCTGCAACTGCCCTGTTTACGCCATTTGTCCTGAGTTGCCACTCTCAGTTGGGTTCCGCCAGAACCGCATTGTCACATGAGCACAGAGGCACCTCAGGCAATTGCCACTTATCATACAGGGTTTGTAAAAGTAACCTCTCCCCAGCCAGACATGAAGCACATAAAGGCTGTCAGGATTAATGGCAGAGAACACCTGGGGTGGGAAGACAGAGGGGCAGAAATTTCTATGTTTAGAAGGAGTGTTGTTCAGGAAAGTGACTTACTGCCAGGACAGATGGCAGAGCTTTTATTAGTGGGAGGTTACAAAATCCTTCTGCCTTTGGCTAAAGTGCACATAGAAACTAAGGATTTGAGAACTGTATTCTCTGTGGCGGTGGTAAATGATAACCCGATTGCTTTGTTACTGAGGAATGATTTCTTCCCTGTAGCTTGGGCTTTCAAAGAGAAATTTTACTCTGGAACCCCATTGGGAGAGGGTGAAGTCCCAGGAACTGCTGAAGGAATGAGAAAGTGTCTCTTTAATTCTTCTTCAGCAGTGGGAAACAGTATGTTTCAGGAGGAGGGTCTGGATGGTGGTTGAGACCAGCTCCTGCCCACTAGCTAAAGCATTTATTGTTAATTGGGAAATCTTTTCACAGTTTGTTTAATTTCAGGTGTGAATTACTCAGGGAGAATTTTTGCATTTATCTCCTTAGATTCAATGAAAGTTTCAAATCTGAATTCACTTCAGGAACAGCCATGTTGCTCATCTCAGAATGTTTTCTACCTGGTTTCTCACTTTTACCACATGCCTGATGTGTAAACCCAGCCTGCTATCAAACAGCCAGCCATACCCAGAGGTGCCTTCCCTTGTCTCTTAGTTTGTTTAATCTCAGCCTCTCCTTGTGGTGAGCCTTGGAAACTGCACAATTAATCTGGCAAGAAAAACATCCACTAAGGGGGAGACTTTCAGAAAGGATTTAATATGAAAAAGTCACAAAGTCAAGCTGAAGAAATTATAGACATAAAAAAGCAGGAAACTTCCACCCCCTCCAAACAATGGAAAATTATACAAAGAAAGCTTATGAACCTTTTCCCACTCACTCTTGTATTTCCTGCAACTTCACACAAATCCTATTAATACACCTGCTTTGTCTATCTACCAGGCAGGGACTGTCTCTAGACCATCATTTCTGAGAGAAAGAGGCAAAACATTTACATCATCACACGATTATTTTGTCCAATCAAATTCTTATGATATTGAACCCCCCGAGTCATCATGTCCCACATCATCATAACCTGTGTCTTCAGGAGGCAGGGACGGGGTTTCCTTCTCCATCCCAGAGACAACTTCACTCCTTAGTGAGTGCAGATTCCAACCTGAAAACACCAAGGGGGAGACACACAGTCAGTGGATCCACTCTATAGTTATGTGCAGCTGCAAAGCAAGGTGGAGTGAACTTTACAGCAGTGGTTCTCAAACTTATTTGATTGTGGCCCCTTTCTTTGTATCCGTAGTAACTGACACCTCCCCTCCCCACCACACAAGTATATATACCAATTTAAAAAAAAATCAACATGCAACTTTCACTAAATATGAAAAACAATAGGGCATTGAGTCAAAAAGAGCCATTTAAGTATATAACTCTCCAGCCACCCAGCTGAAAGGCAACACTACCGCCAGCAGCGGCAGAGAAGTAAGAGTGGCAACACCAGACCATGACATCCTTACTTCTGCACTGCTGCCAGTGGCAGTCCTAATGTCAAGGTGTCATCCCCCACTCTGAACTTTAGTGTACAGATGTGGGGACCTGCATGAGATAACCCCTAAGCTTATTTACCAGCTTAGGTTAAAACCTGGTACTCCTCTGCCACCACCAAATGATTTAAACAATAAACAGGGAAAGAACCATTTGGAGTTCCTCTTCCCCCAAAGTATCTACCTCCCAAGTTCCTATAACCCTTCCCTGGGTAGACTGGAGAGACTTCTTCACCAATTCCCTGGTGAACACCGATCCAAAAACCCTTGGATCTTAAAACAAGGAAAAATTAATCAGGTTTTTAAAAGAAAACTTTTAATTAAAAAAAAAGGGTGAAAGGGATACCTCTGTGAGACTAGCATGCAAGTAAATCTCACAGACAACAGATTTAAAACACAGAGGATGTCCCTCTGGGCAAAACCTTAGTTACACAAATTTGATTCACTCTCTTATGCAAAAAGAAGTCACAAAAGAAAATAAAAGTAATCTAAGAGATTTCTTCTCTAATACTCACTACTTTTAAGAAATGTTAGCTGGCTGATTCCTGGATCTTTCCACTCCGGCACACACTTACTGAACAGACAAAAGACTGATTTCCCTCCTCCCCCTTTTTTATATCTTATCTTTTTATTGGTCCTTTTGGTCATGTGTCAGCTAGGTTATGTGAGCTTCTTAACCCTTTAGAGATAAAAGAGGAGTTAACCCTTAAGTGTCTGTTTATGACAGCTGCCTTCAAAACTGGGCACCCGGACAGGAGCCACTGCTCTCTGCTCTGGCTTCTCATGCTGCCCCAGAATACATTCTGTGCTGCCCAGTCTGAGAACCTCTGTTCTACAGTATGGATGGGAATCGTTCCCCCTTCAGTCTTGGGTCTATGCCAAGTTCTAATCCATCATCTCTATACATAGTCTGGAGATTAAAACCTTTGGTTTCCAGAGCAGGTAAAGTTGTCAAGTGCCAGCTGTAGCTACCTGTCACTTCATGTACAAAACCCAAACACTTACCAGCAAGGAGCGCTTAGTTAAGAACATTATAACTTTCACTCTGCCCAGCAATGAACATTAGCATGTTATTCTTATAAAGTATTAATCAATGCACATTTCATCACCACTGCACCTCCTCTGGGGTGGCTGATGGTGTCTCTGCTCATGACACAATGGGGAAGAGAGGAGAGATATTTGCCAAGGACAATGGGCAAAGCCCATCCCAGATTTTACAGGATGGGACATGGGCTCTTTAACACTAGTGCTGAAGTAACAGGACTTTGGTGTATAGGATTCTGCCCAAAAGATACACACACAGTGAACTGGTGGGAATCGAGCACATTCAGGGCGTGGCAGCCACACAAGATTCGAAACCTAGAGGCAGAAGGATCCTAGGTATCTTGTGGTTTGATCACGAAGTACCACCCAGCAGGGACCCTGCTGTTCCTCTCCCCATGGCAGGCACTGAAGCCTCTGCTTTGAGGGAATGGAGAGACGAGAGAAGGAGAGTTTGTCTCACAGGCGTTGGGTTGGCCAGGGCTGTTCCCTTGATGCATACCCCACATTTCCAGCTACCCTATTATGCAGAAACAGTGTGAAGTGCAAACAGATCTCCACTCACCTGTCTGGGAATCCCTGTCATTCGCCCCAGTGCCTTTCTCATTATTCTGCCCCAAACGAGGGTCACCTTCAGTGTCAGACACTTCTCTGGCATCATCATAACCATCCCCTGGGACATGTCCAGGAAGGGCAGGGGCATCTGATGTGAAGAAGTGAAGTAATTAAGAGAATATTTACAGTGAGGATAGAAATAAACTACAAGCTGCAGATGCACCCGCCTCATTGGTCCCTGGGGATCTCTCAGCGACTTAACTTCCACCCTCAGGGATGTAAGACAAGCCCTCCTCTGGAACCCTCAGATTGAGGCAGGGCCAGCTCTGGCTTTTTTGCTGCCCAAGGCAAAAAAGCCTCCTGCCGCCCCCGCCTTCCCCCCCCCCCAGTGCGGCAGGGGAGGGTACCTCTCCCCGACCGGCCGGAGCCCCGGGAGGAGGGCAGT